CAAACATGCTTGACTCCATCTGAGCCCAATAAATTTATTTTCATCTCATCAGACCAAGAATGTTCTCGAAACATTCATCATTCTTATTTTAATGATCTGAGCAAAGTTCCATCGTGCAGTTTTGCGCCCAACAGCAAGCAAGAATGCTTTTCTTGGATGTCGTCCATAGAGGTTGATGTTAGCAAATGTCCTTCAGACTGTCTGAGCTGTCACAGAAACTCTGAGTTCCATTAATAACCACTGTGTCAAGTCTGAAGCAGCTGCCGGCTGTTTGTCAGAGCTAGATTGTGAATGCAGTGGCTTTTGTTAGGAGGACAACCACTGGAACCCTGATTAGTGGCACTATGTGTCCTTCTATAACTCATTATTACTGCTGCAGCTGTGTTTCACTGGTTTGTAGTTGATAACCAATCTTCCTGTATCCTTTTCCATCTTTGTGAAGTCTCACAATTAGATATTTCAGTTCTTCTGGATTTTTTTTTCCCAAGTAGAGCCATGATGCAGACATGCAGACAGACAGCCCAGAGGTCTAAAACTGAGAAAGTTCTGCTCACAGCTCATTTTAGAACCATTTTCATACAGTTAGACATATTGGAAATCACAGGTGAACACAGATTAGCTTCAGTGGTCACAGGCGTTTGATGCCTGAATTGTCAGTGTCGTCCTCATGCAGTATTTGGATTTTATTTTTTACTTATAAGAGGAAATACTCTGCTGTTAAACTTAGAAATAGAGCAGTTATTAAGACGCAATGCAGTTATGTTGAACTTGTAATGAACTGTATAGCGTCACTCTCTAAAGACATTGTATGAACACATTATGACTTTTTGGTGGATGGAAGGTCAGGCTCTGGATGTGCTCTCCATGGTGCTGAAGTCAGGTCAAACGTGATACGTTTCAGGTCAAAGTAGGATTCATGTCAAGGCTCTTTAAATACACTTATTTCATCTGGCTTTGGTTAAGGGGAAAGAAGAAGAAAAAAGGGGAGAGAGAGTGTTGGATTACTTTTCTTTGGGTTGACATCACACCTTAACCAAGTGACCCATTACAGTGACTTTTATTAATTTGCTATCGGGTGTGTCCGTTGATTGAATACCTCCCGACGACCTACACACTTTCACAAAGACAGTCTGGCACACAAACACACGCAGTCTTTGCCGACAGCTCACGCAGGAGATGACAGGGCCTGCTTACAGTAATAACCCGCCTGCAATCTCACGCCCATGCGTCTGCAGCATAGCCTGTAAATCTCACTCTGTTATTGTTTTAATAACACTAATGTTAGCATTAGCCAAGTGGTAAAAACGTCAGACATCAAAAGCCGGAATCATCTGAGCTATATTGGGGTGAAGACAAAGGGCGAGGGCGCAGCTTGTGAAAATAGCTGGCTGTGCTGACTCAGCGGAGGAGTGTGTGCGTGGTTGTATGTGTGTGTGTGTGATTGCACAGAGTTATACATTGATAGTGCAACTGCGTGGATATTTAAATGTGTGTAAGCGTGCGAAACGCTGAGCAAACCTGCGCAAGAACAAAGCCCTCCAGCTGCTCGGTAAAACTGACTTCTCCTCAGAGCTCCATTTCCTCCAAACCACAAAGACTCATAAAGCTAAGCACCCATAGTTAGCTAATGGCATTAACTTCTACACCGATGCCTCTGGTGCTGCTTATTGGGGGAAAACACCCTGATATATTTTCCAGCACACGATTTTGTTTTTCTGAATCAACAGCTCCACCTCTGCAGCGAGCCGCCGCGGGGAGAGGAGTCTGAAATAATGTCTGATGGGGATGCAGCATCATAAAACCAGAGAAGAATAAAGTCCTGCATGCTGCATGTTCCACTGGAGTCATGGAAGATCTGTAGGCAGGAGCGAAAACACGAGTCAGCAGTCCGGTTTAAGCCGCGTAGTGTGAGTTAAATTCCATAGCAGCCTTGACATGGATTGGGTCATTGCTTTTCATTGCCGTGGCCCCGTGTGTTTTTACATATGTGGGTAATAAAATAAGCCGGTAAGTTCTCTACTTGAGCCAAATGGACCTATTTTATGAACCGCTGCGAGCAAGATTTCTTTGTCTGTGTGTGTGTGTGTGTGTGTGTGTGTGTGTGCTGAAGTGAGTATATATATATTGTGTGTGTGTGTGTGTTCAGGGTGGGGGTCCAGTGGACGCCAAGCTTTCCATAATGTTTACTGACACAACACATTTTAATGGTTTCAGTTGAGCGCCAGGAATTGAGAAATCGAGTCACTTCAAAAGCGTGGCACGCTAACGGAAGTCCATTGTTTACACTTATGGCTTCAGCTATTTAAATCTGCAGCAGAGTGGCCCTATGGACACCACAGCTGAACTGTTTTGTTGTTGCAAAACTCTGAGTTTATTTGCATAAAATTGTTCTCTGCAAAACATCATCCCAAGACCTCAACACGTATAATGCACAACATGAGTGAGTGAAGCCCTGAGCAACATCTTCTAAATACCAAATGATTCAAAACTGAATCACATCTCAATAACTGCATTACTTAAGTTGAACAGTTGAGTATTTCCTTCTATAAACAATCAAAAACAAACACTTTACAGAGACTATATTGACAATACAGGCCCCAAAAGTGAGGACACCTGTGATCACTGAAGCTAAACTGAGTCCCCCTGTGATTTCCAATCAGCCTAACTGCATGAACATGTTTCTAAAATCACCTGTAAACAGCAGAACCTCCTCAGTTTTGGACCTATGAGCTGTGTCTATCTGCATGTCTACATCATGGCTCCACATGGAAAGGAATTGCCAGAGGAGCTGGATAGTCTGATTGTGAAACTTCAGTGAACAGCCACAGCAGTAATCAGGAGGTACAGAAGGAGCCATTGTCGCACTAATCAGGGCTCCAGTGGTCGTCCTCCTAAGAATATGCCACAGACAGTGGACTGCTTTCACAATCAACTTTGGAAAAATAGACAAGTGAGTGCTACAAGCTTGGCACAGGGGTCATCAATGGGAAATAGAGCTTCTGTGACAGCTCAGACAGTGTGAAGACATTTCATAACACCAACCTCTACAGACGGTGTCCATGACCAACAGCCTTGCTTCCACTTTGGCACAAAACTACAACATTAAACTTTGCTATAGAACATAAAAAGAAGCCTGATGAACATTGGGCACACATCGAGATGAATTTGTTGGGCTCACTGAGTACAGCATGTTGAGGCCCGTCCTAGTGAAACACAGAGGTGGGAGCATGACGATATGAGGCTGCATGAGTGCAGAAGGTGATGGTGAGATGTCACCATGGATGTCAGTGGATATATACATAGTCCTGACAGTGTAGCACAGCAGTGGGAGTTTAATGACATGGGACTACATGAGTACAGAAGGTGGTGCGGATGTACCAAAATCACACAGGTGAAAACTAGGACCAGGGCAATCATGCAGCCTGACTTGAATCAAATACAACACCTCTGGGGTATTTTAGAAAGAAAGGTAGAGTCATAGAAACCCTCCAGCAACGAGTCTCTGAAAAATAAATCTTAGAATAATAGCACAATATCTTCAGTATCCTAGTAAATGAAGTGTGTGCTGACTTGTGTTGAGTTCCTCCTGTGGGGCCTGTATATTCAATATAATACAACTAAACTGTTAGTTTTTAATTTTACAAGATCAGATCTGTACAGTTGGAACTTAAATTACTGGCAGGTGGTACAATTCAGAACGATTTGACATTTAAGTGTTGTATGCTGTAATATTCTTTTCAGTTAAAGCCAAGTTAAAATTACACTCCTGCAGTCAGATCAGTCGGTGCCGTACACTTCAGAAAATCACCAATCAGCTCCTCGTGCACCTCTGCCAAGTATTTCTCCTCAACCCCCAGATTTTATTTCATTCTCTGTAATGTTTGAACAATGAGCTGAAAGTCGTGTGAGGTCCCAGCGCACAGCACAAACGTGTGAACCCCAGCCATTCTCTGGCCATATGCTGGTGAACGCCCAAGAACAGACAATAGAGGAATTGTTTGGCTTCGGGTCCAACATTAAAAAAGTCTCTCTCTCTCTCTCTCTCTCTCTCTCTCTCTCTCTTTCTCGCACATGCCGTCGGGCTTCATGGGAGACCCATCGCCACAATGATCAAAACGCCTCACACACATTACAGTGAAGTAATGAAATTCTCATCGTTACTCCACATCATCCCGTGCAGTCTGTTTCTTGTTTATCCTGCAGGTCGCTGTGTGCCGTGGTCCAAATGTCTGCTGCGAGTTAACAGGCTGCAGCAAGCAGTGGGCGGCTTCTCTATACAACCTATGTCTGTAATGAGCTGGTGGGCTGCTCTGACCGGGTTGCAGTGGGGTAAAGGAACAGCGTGACTTCACTCTTTGGCCATAATGGTGGAGATGGTGGAGATGATCAAATTGCACATCACAATAATATTACAGTCAGGGTGGCCTGTTCATCGGGTTACAGAGCGAGGCGGCTGCGAGGTAATCCTGCTGAAGCTGAGTCACTGCAAACAACAGCAGCAGCCTGAATCAGGTAATCTAAATACACTGTAAAAAAAAAATAAAATTAAATCAAATCTACAATCTCTAATTTTATGACATTTTTTCCTTTTTATTACACAGATGTTTCTGTATTTTTGAAATACATAAAAATATCAAACTACAAAAATAGATCAGTCATCAGAGTGCACGCCTACACTGTAAAAAAAAAAAAACATCTGGAATTTTACTGTACAGAATATTGAAATACTAGAAAATATCAATAAAATTACAAAAACTAGCAGAATTTACAATAATAACTGAAATAACATGTAACTGAAAATCTTACAGAATTTTTATTTTTCAAGATGTATTTTGTTTTAACTTAACTTACTGGTAAAATACATTTGCAAATGTATTTAAATATTCATTTTCTTAGTAGCAAGTTTATTACTGTATTATTACTGTATATATTTCTAAAATTAGAATTACTGACAAATAACTTTTTTGTTCTGTAACTTTATGTTAGTTTGTTAAATCAGGTTTGTTTTTGTTTTTTTTAAAGTTGAATAAACATGTTTCCAACAGTATAATATCCATAAGGACAAGTAATCTAAGAAAATGCAATCACATATTTAGATTATCGGTAATTTCATTGTTGTTAATGCCAGAAAATACACATTCTCATGTAAAATTAGAAACCTATTTTATTAAGAAAAATGACTGCTTTTTTAAAAACAGGATTATTCTCTCAGGATTATTATTAAATATTTAATTTTATTTTGCCCCAGCTGCTGAAAAATTAGTTGTTTTTTTGTTTGTTTGTTCCACAGTGCACACAAGAAACACTGTTACAAAAGTAGTTTTTTTTTTATTAAAACATACACAAACATAAATTAAAAAAACACAGAACGGAAAAAAATCTATCAGGTGAAATCAGATGAAGATCTTACAGGTATGCTACAATTTTGTAGAAGAAGAAAATCAAGATACATAAATATAGAATTTGAAATGAAGCCCTTGTGTTTTAATAACAAAAAAGCGTGTCTACTATTTCCTCTAAGTGCTGCATAATGAATGTCGTACAGACATAAAATATAAATGGTTTTTTTTTACAGCCGAAAGGTCACTGTAACAATGACCTGTCTCTGTACTTCTAGAGCTAATAAATAAATATTTAGTGCATATTCCCATTTACCTCACTGAAGAGCCAAATGAAAAAACAAAAATTTAAGTTAAAGATGAACCAAACTCAACTTGGTTCCTCTAGTTTAAAAAAAAAAAAGACAATTCATGTCATTCAGACAGTCCAGCTATCTGCATCACTTGTTGATCGTCATAAACAAAAACTAACAGATGTCATTTCGTCCTTAGTTTAAATGACGTTGTCGTGTAATCGCCGGCAACGAAGCAGGCTGCTTAAGACAGAAAACTGGATAACAAATGAGTTTTTGGAGCAAACACGCAACAACGTCAGCGTCAAAGTCAATCTTTGCCATAAGTTTCAAAGGTGCCTCGGAAGATTTTGAAATCAATCAAATGATGTCGCTGATGCCGTTACCGTGGAAACGCCCCATCGCCTGCCGTGTTCACACTTCCAGAAACTTTCAGGAAAACATTTATGGATTTGCCGCTGTGGGTCAGACACAGGCCTAGAGGCTTGTTATTTTTATCCTGTGTTAATCTGCTAAGTACAAGCAGATGCTCCATCGTTCTACAACGCTTTTTTTGGACATTCTTCCCAACAATCTGCACTGATAAATCCTTTTTCGCTGTGCTTCCTGCCAACAATCTTACTTCCTTAGTTGCTCCCTTGCGGCTTGTTTAATTAGTGCATAAACACATGTCAATTCTTAAGTCTCAATGTTGTAATCTGAACTGAAACGTACTGAAATTTCCCAATTGAAACCACAATACTTAAAAGAGAAAAAAAAACAAAGTCCAATAAAACTCCAGTGCTATTTTGGATGTGTCTATTTTCAGGGAAAAAGTGGAAAGTGGAAAGACAAGTTTTTTTAAAAGGTGGTTACCTTTTTCCATTGTCATGAAAGGCTTACTGGTGAAGAGCAACAAAATGAAACGAAACACGCATGTACAATTATAAAAAAAACAAAACACTTTTTTTGGACAAAATCAATATTATAAATCACTAACAGTGGTTCTTTGGCATATCAAATGTTCAGTAGCATGTCCGCTCCCCACGTGTTTAGGTTTCAGTTACCCAACTTTATGGCACCAAAATACGTCCCTTCTCCCTCTCGGTCCAGCATCCAGGAGTTGGACACGTTGACGAACAAGGCGTCCCCTTTGTCCAGCCGGACCCCTCGGCCCTGCTGGGAGCAGTACATGCTGTAGGTGGTGTTGTGCCAGCGCACGGTGCTGCCCGTCTTCATCAGCAGCTGGGCCTTGCTGGTCTGTTTGATGCTGTCGCGGTAGACATACTGGATGAGCTGGGCGTTGCGAACGAGCTCCGCGATGAGCCCGACCTGACTTCTGTCGTCCGGTTTGGAAAGGTTGTAGAAGCGGAAGCAGATGTTGGTATAAACGTAGTAGAAACCGGCCTCCATCACCAGCAGTTTGCCCTTCTGGTAATCCATCCTGTTGCGGTATCCCTGCTCCTCATCCCAGTCGATGGTGACGGCCTTCGGGTACGGGTCGACCCCTGGAAGGCAGCAAAACATAGAAGGTTTGGGTTAATTTATTCATCAAATATCTTTGTTCGCTGAATCAGTTTGCAGCATTAAAACTTAAGAAATGTCTTTGCAAGGAGACTTTCGCACTGTAAAACAGGATTTAACTAAAATGAAAACCTGTGAAAGGCTGGATGAAGGTTTCCTTGCATCGTTGTGCTTGTTTTTGTTTTTATGACTAGCAGTCTTTCCTCAAGTACATTCTAGTATATTCTTAAATGTATTCTTTTAACTAGCCCTGCTGTAGCGCATTATTTATAGACATGTCATCCATTTTTCATTCTAAAGTATTTACGTAGTGTGGTTCCATGAATGTCTGACTTTAGGCAGTTTTCAAAGTCTCTTTATGTTGGTCCTGGTGCTGTAAGTTGATCCTGACATGTTTGGGTTTATTATCCAACTCAGTCCAGTGTGATTATTTTTGTGCATGTAATTATATTGTAATTTAAAAAAAAAAAAATTTAAATCACTGAAAGTCCTTTCATCTGATACAAAATTATAAAAATAACTATCTGGACAGTCATATATATATATTTGCTTTACAAATTTACAATTTTAACATTTCTTTTTTTGAATTTTATGGTTTTTGCCAGTTAAAGTTTAGTTATACAACTAAAACAAACAACCCTTTGGGGGGGCAAAAGAGGGCAAAAACCTACATTTATCTAATGTGTTTAGAACAAGCAAGAAAACATCAGACTGTACGGCCCCATGTGACATTATATGCTAATTGAGCTAATCATCTATGGCCATTGATTTATGGTATCTAGCACTGTTAAATTGAAATACAATTTTAAATCTTTTTATACAACTCTTTTATAAATACATTAGCAAGCTAATGCTCAGTTAGCCACGCTCACAGTTTAGACGAGTGGGAGTAAATCTTTTTGAATCGTATATAAGGAAGCTAATGTTAGCGTTGTCAGTTGGTTCAGTTCACAGTTTAAAATGACTGTAAAGTAACGAACAGCGCTAATAGCCAAAGCTGTTTGGTCATTTAGCTGAACTTCATTAGCCACTGCTGTGTAATTTGAAGTATATTGCATTATTTCATAAAGATCTGCACAAATCATTATTAAACACCACTTTGACCAAATATGACTGTTCCATCATTACTATCCTAACGTTTTATTCTTTACCAGCTAGCTTGCTGATATATTAGCAAGTTAACAGATAAGCTTGCCAATACATTAGCAAGCTAACATTAGCTTTATCAGTTGGTTCTGTTAGCGACACAATTTGCAGTTATTGAATATAAGAACAAATTTGTGTTTTAAGAGCTGTGCAAGCTTTTACTTAGCAACATTTACAATAAAAACATGCTAAGAGTGAGAATGCCAAGTTGCTGTAAGGATAACTTCCAAAACTGTGCTTTCAGGGGGGAAACTGATGTATTAAACCTAGCTGCTAATACGTTCCACTAAAGTTTACTAGATACATTTACCTTTGACATTATTTAATGACTAAATCTCCACCTAGCACATTGTTATTATGAACAAGCTAACACAACACTACACGGAAAAGATGCTGCAACCAGAATGAGACGCGTTTGTGGTGCAACACAGGACTCAACAATTAACAGAAATATGATCTAAACGTGGGAAAGTGCAATATTCAGCTACTGCAATTATCTGATAACGGTAAAACGTGTTGCAAAATACCATTTTAAACAAAGTATTGTGGCGCAACAGATTGTCAAGATGTATGGGAACGTTACATTACAGCAGCATTCCCACTGAAATCAGGACTCGTATCGCAATATCTGTCAATGTCAATATGATTTATTTTTTTGTGCATACCGTTCAGCCCCAGTGCAATAACAATAGGACGTTAAATCAACTGGACTCACTCTTGGAGTCCTCGTGTTGCCGACTGATCAGTAGATGGGCTGCTGGCAGGCTTTCTCTCGGAGATTTGCACCGTCTGTTTTTCCTGGTGTCTCTCAGGGCGTTGAGCACCGGCTCTGTCTGCACCTCCTGCAGCAAAAAAGGAAGAGCTCATTTAACACAACACTGACTGACAGACGAAAGGTCGCAAAAATACCCCTTGTGTCTCTTGTTAGAATGCAAGACGTCGGTAAAGACTCAAAGACACACATCTACACAATTTTTGACATCATTTCCAGCAGATCTGTCCTGCTGTCTCTTTGAATAAGTGTGTCTTTATCTGCAGGCTTGACTGTCTGTACGTATTGTATTCTGCATCCTCTTTGGCCAGCCTGCTAGCTTCTTCTTCCAGCCGTGGCTTCATGATGAGTGTAACCTTTCAGAAAGATTGTGCTTCTCATGGATTTGGCACAAATAGCATCTGGACCGCGTTCAGAATCCGAGTGCTGGTTCTATTCAAGGCCGGTGACGCCGCCACGCACGCTCAGTCTGAGCCGGGCTGTCCTCAGGCAAGACCCAGCATATACACTCAAGGAAAACATGGTTTCCAAGCGAGTAAACAGTCAGCACATGGCAGCTGCCAACTCTCCTACACATCTGGCATGAGATGAAAACATCAGGTGTGTTGTTTTCGACCTACATGGTTGCGCTGACAAAAGGGCGAAGGAAAGTTGCATTTTTACCCACTGAATCGTTTTTAAAGTGCACATTTATTCAGTTAGTTTGTTTAGACTCAACGGTTATTATATTCCAAAGGTGTTTCAACTTGTTTTATGTTTCTTTTCTTGAGTATTTTCTTATGATCCAATAATCTCCTGGCGGTATCATCTCGCCCCGACATTGAGCCGACGTCAAAAAACAAAACAAAACAAAAAAGGGAAAGTGTTGAAATGGCGAGAAATTTCAAACCCACACACAAACAAAGCGCTGCACATTCCAAATAAACTCATCTCCAGAGCCAAGCCCGCCAACGCCGTTAGCATGGTTTTGCAACACTGCACCTGCACTGTGCTAATATTACTCCTATCCACAAGCCAAGTCCAGACTCATTTGCGCGGATGTCAATCTAAGATTAGCCAGCGTCGGTCCTCCGAAAACAATTTGCTTCACAAACATGTTTATAAGGCAGTGTCTTGAATGGAGACAGGGGTAAACAATGTCTTGCCAAGGCTACAAAGTAATTGCGAACTCCCAGTTGGCTCCGAGTTGTGGGATCTATCTTGATTTGTGGCGAGACCGCGTCATACCTCCGCAACCAGACAGAAGAGATCATTTAGACTAAGTAGCAGCAGCTTGGCAGCTTCCTAATCTGCAGTGTGATCTGGAGTTGAAGTGCGACAAACTCTGCTGCAGCGCGAAGCCTTCAAAATGTGAAACGCCGGGCCCTGCGATCCCACAGTGCATGCAGGCTGCAGCTCAGCCCTTTAACTACACACCACATACATCATTCAACATGTCTATTATGTTGATGAGTGGTTTCTGAGACGCTGCACTGGAACAAAAGTGCTCTCACTCGGAGAAACCGGCCACCAAAGCGGCAGCAGAGCGTCTCTTTGTGTTTCGTCCACAGATTCTAAACATTCAGATCCTGGAGATTCTGGGTTCCGAGATCAGACAGACCGCAGGCTGAGCCCAGCGACCTGCCCATCCCCGTCGCATCAAAGGAGGCGACATGTCAATCTGGCAGCTGTCAACTGAGGCCGAATCCCAGCAGCTAAGTGGACGCCGACACCTCATAAAGCTCCCAGCATGCCTCGCTGCGCTCTGTGGGAAACAGCCGAGAGCAAACCGGCACAATGGGCTCCTCAGTCCGTCGCTGGCTGGGTGGTTTGTGTAAGCGCTCCACCAGGGAGACCCGCGGCAAACACAAATACATAATTTCAAAGAGCATTATGGGAAACCAAACACTGCAGGAGCAGAGCAGCGCTTTTATTCCATCTTGTTTTACTTCCTGGATGGGTTTTTTTTTTTTTCCTTGCTTTTGCTCAGCAGAGCCTGAGCCAAAAGACGGGCGGCGACTTCCAACAGGGGGATTAGACAAAAAATATGACTTCAACAATTAAGAATCCCTACTTTATAACTCCCTCATGCTGCTACTGATCAGTGGAGAGACCACTGACGCCAGAGAGTGACTCACCAGGAGCTCCATGCTGTAAACTCCATCTCTTGCGCGAGATTAATCAAACTTGTGGAAAAAGGCTGTTTGACTGATATCAAAGGCGGAGAGGTGTTTTCCCTGCAGCGGTCTGACCTCTCTGCAGCCTCTCTGACCACCCTGGCTTTTTGTGCTTGCTGTACAGAAGCTGAAAACACACCCGTGGGAAAATCTGAACTCCTGTCAGTGCAAAATTGCAGATGATTATCTTATTTAGTTTTTTTTTTTTTTGTGCTGCTTTTGATTCGGAACATGAAGCCAGCAGAGGCACTGGACTTTCCCCCCTTGTTTGTCAGTGACAGGAGGAAATACCTGGTTTGCTTCAAAACCCTTTCTAAAGCAGATTACAGCTGGAGGCATTAGTTTGGGCTCTTTCCTTGTTAGCACCAATCAGAGACAAATCACTCAAAAGCAGAAGTCGTGCATGTGTGTAATGTTGCAGCCGGAGGTGTTAAATACATCTGAGTGGGCTGTGGCCCAGTGGGAGGGTCTGTAGCAGGGGTTTGGACTCACCTCTATGGGCCGATGTGGAGCCGTGGACAAGTCTACCTGCAGACAGTAACAGAAGGAGGTTAGAGAATGGTTCTCAGTGTGGGAGCTTATTTCTGTACATTCCAGCACGAACGGAGCAAAGTGAAGCTGCAGCTCTGAGAATCTTTACATGTGCATTGAAAAACACACTTCAGAGCAGCTTCTTCAGCACATTCCTGCATCCTGCTGAGCAGAGTCCAGCTCTTCCATCTGCATCTCCAGGAAGTCCTACAGGTGTTGGAGGGCAGACGGTGGCCCGCCGCCAACAAAACTTTCAAACTGTGCTGACTCACGCTCAGAGTGCAACCAGATGCATCCATGTCAGGATCAGGAAAATCAAAGCTGTGAGCGGCTGCTGTGTATTCCAGGAATCACTACTCCTGCTTATTAACACACAAACGTGATTAAAGAATGAAATCTCTGCTCCTCTTCACCCCCTCTCTCCCTTCCTCCTTCCCTCCCTGTGTTTTCATTTTCCCCTCTGGCCCACGTCCACTACATAACTATAGCTACTACCACACTGCAGCGTGTTTATGCCAAAGACAAGCCAAAGAAATTTAAACACACAAACAGAGAGAAGAGACAGAGAGGCTGGAACAGAGACAGAGATGCTCCCCAGGTGAACCCGGACGGAGCGGACATGCGGTCTGCAACTCTTGGCTCGTTCAAACGCGACAATTATTCAAGTGAAAAACAACAAATCCTGGCACAATGTAAATGTTATTTTACACACATCGCAGCTCTGCAAACATGGCAAACACCATGTGAATGATGAGAGACAGAAAGCAGCCTGATAACATCTGAGCACAACATCCATCCAGCTCGGCTTCTGCTCACATGAATCACAAATCCGCGGCCCGGATGGCATGTAAACATGAAAAACCAGCTGCAGCCTCTTTGCAGTCACTTTGCAAACAAGACGTGTTGCTGACATTCGTCTCTGCAGCGGCGGAGATGTTATCTCTGCACATGAGCTGGAAGATATCTCTCTGAAATAACTAAATCTGTGCGGAAAGTTTCCCCCAGAGCTTCGTGAGATTATATCTGCGCCTTCAAAGAGACGCCACAAAAGCTTGGCGCACGAAAACTGCACAACTTGGCTTTTGCGCTTTTTCTCCCTTGACTGATTGCTTCACTTCTAAGCGCCGCCAGCTTATGACATTTTATGGCGTTATAAAGTTGCGCAAATCTCCCTTAACTCGCCTCAAGCCTGGAACTGTTGACAGTAGTTTGAAGGTAAATATTTACGCGCAACCAAAGTTCGCACAGAGCGCCGAATGACGCACGGCGCGCCGGAGACCAAAACCACCAAAACCAGACCACACAAGAGTCACAGCAGCGAAGCCTTCCTACCTCTTGCAGATAACCCGTCAGGTGTAATAAGATCGCCACGCTGGAAGCCACCTGAAGCAATCCCATAACAGCGAGGGTCCCGAATAGCAGCGGCCGGTACGTGGGCTCCGAGCTCTGCACCGGGTGGAAGCGGTGCTGTGCCGCCTCGATGTCGACGGTGTTCCGCAGGTAGCCTCGGTACTCGCTATGCGTAGCTGCCATGATGCGCGCCGTGTGTGTGCCGTTCCGCCCGGGGCCAGACTCAATGGAGCTCCGTCTGCAGAGCGGCTATAGTCAGCAGTGGGTGGGCTAAAGTGGGCCGAGCAGCCAATCACAGGGAGCCTCCGAGAGCAGCGAAAAGACCGAAGCGGGATCGTGAACCGGATCGACCTGAGCGCACGACAGGTAAAGCGAGCATTTTTATGGCTTCAGAGGCCGCAGAGGAGCCGCATTAACATGAGATCCGCCCCTCTGAGCGTCCACACCCACCGGTGACACACAGCCGGCGGGACACCGAGGAGCGCGAATCAAACAACGGCGGCAGTGGAGCCTCGCTGCACTGTAAAACATCAGCAGGGACTCCAGCAAGTTCCAGCTTCTACTGCAGATGTTCAAGCGCACGAAAATATCGATACAAGCACAAGAAAGAGAGTGAGTTCACAAGCCTGATGGAAGATAACATGAAAGCCTGCAACTGTGGACGAATTATTTACTTATTTTTATAATAAATACATGTATGGATAAATGTAAAGGTACATAAATAATATCAATTGTTTTCTAATAACACATTTTATTAGAATATAAATAAATACATATAAAAATATAATATATTAATATATCTTACACATGCAAATATCTTTCATTAGCATTAAAAGGCCAAATAAATACAAATAATTTAATCTTAAATGGATTTTAATTTGGGCCTCGGTGGTTAGCACCGTCGCCTCGCAGCTGGAAGGTCGCCGGTTCGCGTCCCGCTGAGGACACCGGTGTGTTTGCATGTTCTCCTCGTGCAGGGTGGGTTCTCTCACCCTAAGTCAGCTGGGATAGACTCCAGCCCTCCTGTGACCCTAATGAGGATTAAGTGGTGTATAGATGATGGATGGATATATATATATATTTATATTTATATGGGGCCAATACCCACACTGGGATTTGTTCATTCCACTTTTTAAAAACACACAAAATAATAGTACAGATAAAAGAATAGATTGAATTTTCAAATTGAATTTAAATTAACTTTTTTTTTTTTTTAAAAAGGGCGATGGGGGAATTCTCTGCAGGAACACTGAGGCTGTTATGATGAAACTTATGCGGTTTTTCTTTTAAAACAGGAAGCTCATCAAAGATCAAACCAGTCTGTTTGATAAATACGTTAAAAAATGTTATTCATGCATGAATCATTGACAATGCTCTGTACTCTGGAATTGGAAATTTAAAAAGTCCCTGGCACGCCTCCAGCTCTTTGTAATGCAGCAGATCCACAGTAACTGGTGATACCTGGTGAGGAGAAATCAGCCCTCTCATGACGTCTTTCAGAGTTTTGCAATTTGACAGCATTTTCTACAACTAAAAGAAACATACAAACCATTTTCATTTGCAATCATATTAAAACACATGTGCATATATAGGAAGGTAAAATCAAGTTAGGTTTAATGACAAACTGTGAAGCTTTGTTTAGGCTGCACCATAGCTGATGCCATCGTCCGCATGATGGACTCTGTAAAGTTAAATCTTTCCCACCCGCATGTCAAAAGACGTGCAGTTTACTGTTTCACAACTGTTAGGCACAATGATGACAAGTTTAAGAGTCAAAAACCTTACAGTCCCTGCATTTTATGACCTCTGTCTGTGGTTTGTTTTCACCATCATGAGCGGTGAATAACTTGGATGTCCAGAAATCCCAGGAAGGTATTGATCTTCCACAGAAATCCTTGCACAACACCTTCAAATCAATTTGCAAATCAAAACATCCTGACCTTGAAAAAGCAATAATTATGCCAGAATTAACTGAAGAGATAAGACTTGGCAGTAAAATAAAGTAAAACAATCTACTCACAGGTGGTTTGAGTCAGACTGAGGCCCTTTACACATGTGCCCAGCATTATTGAAACATATCTGTTTTTTTTTGTTGTTAGAAATGTGTTTTGGACTTTGCTCCACATGCGAACAAAGTTTTAGGTCGTTAATCATGAAACTTTTGGAAAATATTTAGAAACACAGTTTGCAGTTGATCTGTGGACAGAATTTGCTCCATTATCTCATTTGTTTGTGATTTTGTACAATGGTGCAAAAAATACTGCTGGTGCTGAACTTGCCAACGAGACTTTTTGCACGTTTACACCACAGACTGCATATAAAAGATAAATGTCGTCTCAAAGTCTGGAAGTCTGACACATGCATTCTCTCTAACAGCCAGCAGGGGGCGACTCTGCGGGTTTTCAAAAGAAGTCTGATTGTATTAAAGTTTATGAGGAAATGAGTCGACTTCTCACTTGATTTGCAACCTCAGTAAATATTTTTCGCATGTCTTTGCGGACTTAATCTCTAGTTTCAAGTCTCCTTCAATATAACATGGTGTTTATTTTGTAAATTAGTTCTGTTGAGAGGAAAATAAAGCATCAGGATACTTTGTAAATTCAAAACTTGAGACTTCATCTTTTACATGCAGTGTATGATTTACACACAGACGTTCAGCTATTCGTCCACTAAATAGAGGAACAGAAGCATCAGAATCAGTCCACATGTGTAGGTATGACTGAGCAGCTGTGAACGCCTAATTATTGTTACTAAACAACCCAGGATTGAAAAAATTACATTCCTATACAACTAAATTGCTTTCTATTAGGTTTTGAGGGAAACTTATTTACCACCAGACTATGTTTGTGCATAACGTATCACTAATACGTTTCCAGTCAACTTTGCCATTTATTTTAATGCTTAACTGTCATTTCTTTTTTGCCGACCAATCGTACATTAGATGGGGCGTGGCCTGTCACCATGGTAACCCAGAAAATGGAGGAGAAGCCTCCAACATGTGGTGCAACAGTCACATTTTAACCCAAACCATGATACTTTTCCTAACCATCAGCAAATAATCTGTGTTGTTGCCTAAACTTAACCAAGCTTCCAACATGTAAAAGTGTCTAGAAAGGTGTGATACTGTCGTAAACCGAACCAAGAAGTTTTGAAAGTGAAGCAGAAATGAAGTAAACCAAAAGTAAACAACCACAGAAAATGAAACTTAATTTTGAGGCTGATGATGAACTCTTCTGTGTCTTCTGTGTAAAAGTCCAGCTGCTGGTTTGTGTTTCCACTCTCGTCTCCTACCACCCAGCATGAATTTTGTCACTCTTTGAAACCAGCTGACTTTCCCACCACATCACAGCTCACAAATAACATTTATTTCAAAGCAAAATTTAATTCCCGTCAAAACATATTTGCAGCTTAGTTATACAGGAATGTAATTCTGTGGAGGCTGGGTTGTTGGTTCAATGCCTCCATCCTCCTCCCACCAATTCTAAGGTGGATTTTGACTTAATTTATGTCATAGTGACTAATAGTATTTGTGAATGTGGAAAGTATAAAGGCCATGCTTTTCAAGAATACATATGACATACATTTTGTCATCAATCCAAATGGAGCCATCTGCAAATGTTCAAGCGCTGCCCAACATTTGTGACAATGCTAACTGCAAGGTGACTTTGAAAGTTAGATCCCTTTTTTAGACAGAACTGAAAAAGAGAAAGCAAAACAAAGTAGGTTATTGCTTCTCGTCAAATTCTTAGAACAATTTCTGTTACATCACCTGGGATCTTCCAGGAACTTGTAAAGCATAACTTGTCAAACCTGCTTATGAAAGTTCAATTACTTCTTCTTTTCATTTCTATGACCAAGTATTTGATAATAAAACGTCGTCTGCATGCTTTGTTTTTTATTATTGTGATATGCAGCTACATATGGTTCAGAAAACACCACTAGCTGACTTCTGCATTATGGTTTTGTAGTTGTTGTTAATCTGTGCTCAAAGTTTAATTTATTTTTGTTGTTATATTTCAACGCACCCAATATTGTCCAATATATCCTGAAACAATGACATGCTGAGAAATAACAGTAAAAATTACAGGCTTTTAATTTTAGTTCCTGAGATATTGGCATTCAAAAAGCCTCAAATTTCATGCAGCATTTTCAAAATCCATAATTGACACGAAAAAAAAAGAAGAAGATACTTAAAGCGAAATGAGAAAACCACATATATGACTGACTGAATTGTCACCATTTCACTGGAGCTTGTTAAAGCTGAGGCCAAATCAACATCACAATACCGCACTGTTGTGTAGCACTGGTTGTTCTTTTTAATTCAAAACTGACCTGCAGCCAGTTCTCCTTTTTCAGTGGTCGTCTGATTACTCACATAAAAGTCACAACTTGTGTAACATGGAAATCAACTTTACAGATGATTTTTATTCAACAAAAATCTACTCAATTACACATAAAGTTCTAAGTTTTACCTAAAAAAAGTGCATCAAACAGCTGTGCAGCAAAAACAGCTCATGTTATTTTGTGGAGCAGATGACACCACACCTGGATTTCCACTATTACAGCAAGTGAAGAAACTAATTCATTAACGTCAGAGCGGCTCATGACTCAGGCTCCAAATGTTCCTGCAGGCAAGAAAAAACCAAATATAAATTTTCTCAGAATTCTTCACTCTAACCACAGCTGTTCTAAAGAAGTTCCTTAAACTTCAACCAAAAGATCTTATGACTTCTGTTGGCCTGATGGTGTAAATAAAACAATTATTAATCAGCTTCAAATGAATGGTCAGGATAATGATGATGCACAGTTGCCGTCATTTAGTCCCTTTGCTTTAAAACTGCACTTAAATCTACCTGATTTCATTTGGAGATCTTTTCTGGTTTCATTTTCTTTCTCAGACTACATGTGAAGCAGTTGTGTTAGCTTAGCTTAGCTTAGCTTAGCTTAGTGTAAAAGCTGGAAACAAATGGTAAAAGTTAGCATGGCTCCATCTTTTTAAAAGTACAAAACACATCACTTGTAATCTTTGGTTTCTGAACAGCTTCAACAAACCAGATGAATCTAGTTAAAAGGTGAGTTCAGGAGCTAATTCAGCAGCTTTCCTTATCTTTGCACAGAGCCGCTTTAAGCTAACAGGCGTAAGAGCAACCAATTAATTTATTTTCTGAAATGCAAAGTATTTATTTACTTTAATCTATTTATATTGGGTTTTGTTTTAGCACAAAATAATCAATCACGTTGTCAGTAAAAGTCCCTTCGTGCACATCCAGCAGAGACAATGCAACAGAAACTTCAGTTCTAAGTTGTGTTTCTGATATCCTGTTAGAGATAAATCCATTATAAGCTCTGTTTAGTCTTCAATAGATGTGAAATATGTGGCTCTTTATTTGGTAAATATTGCCTTGCATTCACTGGCCAGCTGCTTGTCAAACTGTGGATGTACATACACTTGTAAAGACCATACGTATCATGACAGTCTTGAGTTTCCAATGACTCCTTTAACACGGAATTTTCTATGATGGATTAATTGAAACCCATGTGTGCTTGTCAAACAAGAAACTATCCTGCATTTTGTTTCTTTTATAGATGTACTCTAGGTCCTCTGGAAATATGACAAAATATGCTGGGTCAGAAACATCCATCCATCCATCCATTATCTAT